CAGGAGACGGTGAGTTCTAGTCCTGCCTTAGGCATGAAAGCCACCTCAGTGACTTTGGGCCAATCAACAGGAGACAGGGAGTTCTAGTCGTGGCTTAGACATGAAAGTCGGCTGGGTAACTTTGGGCCAGTCACCAGGAGACGGTGAGTTCTAGTCCCGCCTTAGGCAGGAAAGCCAGCTGGGTGACTTTGGGCCAGTCACCAGGAAATGGTGAATTGTAGTACTGACTTAGACATGAAAGCCAGCTAGGTTATTTTGGGCCAAACCTCAGGAGGCAGTGAATTCTAGTCCCACCTAGGCATAAAAGCTGTCAGGGTGACTCTGTAAGCCCAGCCCACTTCGCGGAGTAGTTGTTGTGGGAAAAATAGAAGGAGGAAGGATTATTCGTTATGTCCGCCACCTTCAGTTACTTATAACATAATAAAGTCTGGATGAAGATCAGTGCTCAGGATAGGAGTGGTGCGGTGGCCTAGCAGTGGAGCTCTTGCCTCACAATCAGGAGGCTGTGAGTTCGATCCCAGGTAGAGGCAGATATTTCTCTCTCTGGGCACCATGAGGATATATCCGCTGAACAAAACTCCGCATTGGTGACAGGAAGGGCATCCGGCCATTAAAACACCACGGCTAGCTCCCTTCAGTTGTGCAGATTCCGCCCCGCGAGGGATTTACAGGGTCGTTAAAGGAAGATGAGCCCCCAGGATCCCAAGACATGCCTCCCAGGTGGATTTCCACCCCGCTAACGGATTCTTCACCTCTGCTTTCCTTTCCAGTCTGTTTTGTAAAAGCACTTTACGATTACGAGGGTCAGACGGACGATGAGCTTTCCTTTCCGGAAGGTGCCATCATCCGCATCCTGAACAAAGAAAACCAGGATGACGACGGATTCTGGGAAGGAGAATTCAACGGCCACGTCGGGGTTTTCCCTTCCGTCCTGGTCGAAGAACTGACCGCTTCTGAAAACGGAGAGGTTGCCTGTATCGCTGAAGTTCAGGTATATTGGCGCCAACCATTGATTGATTGATTGATCGATAGAGTTAGCAGCGGAAATTCAAGTCCAGAAAGTACACAGATGACTGATTCAGCAGGATCATTAACTTCTTTATAATCATAATCACATGGCGTAAAGTTTACAATACCATTTGCAGATTCTTTCAACGTAACCTAAGCAAAAACACAAGCAGCAGCAGCAGCTCACAGCAGAACCTGGTTTCAGTTTTAATTCTCAGCAAAGCACACAGAGCCAAACCACACCCAGTATAAACTTTTTTTTATATTTTATATAAAATTCCAGCAGTTACTCCAATTAAATCATGAGCCTCGAGCCACCTTCACAAAACTTCTTTGGATTTATTAGAAGTTAACATGTCGGAATTAGCCTGGGCGTAGCCGACTCTGAGATATGTAATTCACTGCCACCCTTGATCCTGCTTTTCCCCCCACCCCTCTGGGTGTATCATCCAACGAAGCACCTCCATAGCCAAGAGTCATCAATCATGGCCTCCAATTAGATTTTTTTGCGGCAGAAGCTTCAGTCATCTAATCAGTTTTCGAAGAAAATATAAATGGAATGTACTTTCGATTCCACACTGCTGCCTGCTCTTTGAAACTCCTCCCCCTTCTTTCTGTTGGCAATTATAAAATGTGTATGCAATATGTTTTATGAGTTGACATTCGGCTCCCCTCACTTCTTGAAGGTGACCTGTACAACACATATAAAAACAAATTGATTGCAGATATCAATATGTTTTATGAGTTGATACCCAGGCTGTCAGTTCCCATGGGCTGGTCTGTTGCCATGCTTCCTCACTTGCTGACTTTGTTAACCATGTCTCTGCCAGTTAATGAATGACATTGATGCTATGTGCCATCCGATCGCGGTCGATTCCTAGGGACCACGGGGATTGAATTTTCTCCCTGAGGACCCGTGACTCTGGCGGTGAAGAACGTCCTCCATTAATGCCATCTTCTCTTCTTTCCCCACAGGTCTTTCCATCGGCAAAGTCCCAAAACTCCCTGGCGCCGTTGCCCCTCTACGACCAGCCCCCCGTCAGCCCTTTCCCCAGCCCCGATAAAAGAGGAGCTCAGGGCTTCTCGCGGTCTCCCTCGGCAAACGGTAAGAGAGGCTCAGGCTCCCTCCAGAACCCCTGAGGCAGCATGGTGAACGACGGCCCTTTAACGATGGGTGGACTTCAACTCCCAGAATCCCTTAAGCCAGCATGGGATTCTGAGCATGACTGGCTGAGGAATTCTGGGAGTTGAAGTCCACCAGTCATAAACGGGCCATTGTTCCCCGCTCCTCTTCTAAATGGTGCTGTTCTGACCCAGCTCTCTCCAAAGACTACAGACTCTCTGTATTTAAATCGATTCTTTTATTAGGAGCGCTGGCAGCCCTGGCAAAAAGTTTCTCTCTCACCACAGGCTAACAATCTGTCAGGGAGATGAATAGTTGTCTGCCACATCTACTCCTCTCCGTCTCCTGCCTTTTATCCCCAGAGCTAGGGTGGAGCTTCGCTAGCAGTGATGGCTCTTCCGTCCCAAGGACCAGCCCATAGATTTCCACTGCTCTCCTCTCCTCTGCCTTCTGTGCATCAGCCACTGGACCCGGCTGTTCCTCCTCTTCCACATCAGCCACTTCCTGACCTGGGGGCTGTTGACTCTCCATCTGAGGGCTGACGGACGGCCCAGGGTCCTCCTCTGTCTCTGTCTCTGTCTCTCTCTCTCTCTCTCTCTCTCTTTCTTTCTCTCTCTCTCTCCTCTCTCTCTCTCTCCTCTCTCTCTCTCTCTCTCCTCTTTCTCTCTCTCTCTCTCTGCCAGTTCCATTCCCCTTGGAGCTCCCGTCCCGAGGACCGGCCCATAGATTTCCACTGCTCTCCTCTCCTCTGCCTTCTGTGCATCAGCCACTGGACCCGGCTGTTCCTCCTCTTCCGCATCAGCCACCTCCAGACCTGGGGGCTGTTGACTCCCCATCTGAGGGCTGACGGACGGCCCAGGCTCCGCCTCTATGTCTCTCTCTGCCAACTCCATCCCCTCTTCCCCCTTGGAGCTCCCAGGTTGCCCTGATGCTGACCCCGACTCCCACACCACTGCCTCCTCCTCCTCTGATTTGGCTGCTGGAGGGGCCGGCGGCCAACAGGCCACAAGAGGTGCATCCTTAGACTCAGTCTCTCCATTTTGAAAAAGTCGAGACTTCAACTCTCAAGCGTTCCCCAGCTGGCATGCCTCGTAGGCCACACCTCTTACAGCCTCAGAGGGGTTGCGAAATTTAGTCCTTGAAGCATTGTCATTGTGGGTTGTTCATTTCTGGTCCTTTGCTTTCAGTTTCAGAAAACAACTTCCCGTCAAATTCTCCTGGATTTTCCCAACCACCCCGACAGCTTCCTGAAAGCACTTCCTACGGCAAACTCAGACCTGTAAGTTTTAAGCTGGGCCTCAGAGCGATAGACATGAAGTGGGGGGGGGGGGGGGGGCTTGTTCCTGCGTCTTAGTTACAGCTTCGGCATGCTTGCTCCAGGCACAAACCGGGTTAGAACCGGGCTTAATTTCACCTGCTAAATTACATGGCCACTGGATGTGAATCCATTTTGCCCAACAATTGGCATGTTGCATGAAACAAACAAAACGTTTAAAAAGTTACGACATCCATGTCGTGACTTGCCAAGCACAAATTACAAAATTACAGGTAGTCCTCTACTTACGGAGACAATTGAGCCCCAAATTTACATTGTTTGCCCCGTTTTATGACTTTCCTTGCCACGCTCGTTAAGTGAATCACTGCCGTTCTTAAATGAGTAACCTGGTCGTTAAGTGAATCTGGCTTCCCCCCATTGTCTATGCTTGTCTGAAGGTGGCGAAAGGGGATCATGAGACCCTGGGACACGGCCACCGTCATAAATACGAGTCAGTTGCCAAGCGTCCGAATTTTGAACCCGTGGCCCTGGGATGGCTACTATGGTCGCTACTGTGAAAACTGATCCCAAGTCCCTTTTTTCAGTGCCGTTGTAATTTTGAACGGTCACTAAACGAACAGTTGTAGGTCTGGGACTTCAGTTTACTTCTACATAATAATAGCAGGGGTAGGATTCTACCGGTTCGGACCGGTTCTATAGAACCAGTTGTTATGATTCTGAGCGGTTCAGAGAACCAGCAAATCGTGCCCCTGGCTGGCCCCGCCCCTCTCCGTCTGCCTCTCCCTGCCCTGCCCAATCAGTCCTTATTGCGCATGCGCGACATCGCACACATGCCCGACATCGCTGACTCCATTCTTCCCCACCCAGTCACTCCTTAAGATATTTCTTTTTCCCCCCCTCCCGACGATCAGCTGTTCCAATGATCAGCTGTGCCGGGATTCCCCTTGCTTACTTACTGCTTCACCCGGGAGGCTCCCTTGAGGCCCAGGAAGGCCCCAAAATCAGTGGGGGGGCTGCCAAAAAAGAGAGAAGAAGCCACGCCCACCCAGTCACGTGGCCACGCCCACCTGGCCACGCCCACCTAGCCACACCCACAGAATCGGTTGTCCACCCAGTCACTCCTTAAGGTTTTTTTTTTCCTCCTCCCAACGATCAGCTGTTCCGATGATCAGCTGTGGGGGATTCCTCTCGCTTACTTGCTTACAGGAGGCTCCCGTGAGGCCCAGGAAGGCCCAAAGTCGCGTGGGGGGCTACCCAGAAAGAGAGAAGAAGCCACGCCCACCCAGTCACATGACCACACCCACCTGGCCACACCCACAGAATCGGTTCTCCACCCAGTCACTCCTTAAGGGTTTTGTTTTTTTCTCCCGACAATCAGCTGTTCCGATGATCAGCTGTGCCGGGATCCCCCTCGGTCTCTTATTGCTTCACCCGGGAGGCTTCCCCGAGGCCTAGGAGGCAAAAAAGGTGTGCGGGGAGTGGGGGGGGGAACCTGTGTCTCCGCCCCCACCTGTTTTTTTGCCTTCCTGGTGTCAGGATTCTGGCAGTTACTCCAGTAAAATCATGAGCCTCGAGCCACACTCGTTTCCATCACGGCGGAAACATTTCTTGATCAATTTCTCGGCATCCCACTTTTATTATTATTGAATTCAAGTCGATGCATCCAGTGCTCCTTCCTCCTCCTCCAACTTCCCCCACCACAACAACCCTGTGAGGTGGCTTGGGCTGAGAAAAAGTCAATGGTCCATAGTCACCCAGCTGGCTTTCATGCCTCAGGCGGGACTAGAACTCACCGTCTCCTGGTGATT